ATAGGTTTATCATATAATGACACAAAGAGACATATTTTAGATAATAATATTGAAACATAAGATTGGGGTCATTATAAACTGCGTTAAGTGTTGATAGTTTTTACTTTTATGTCTGCGTTTAAGAAAAATTTATATTGATTGTAAAATTATGATAATACTATAATATGACGTAGTTTATTACATATTTAATCATTGTTTTATTGTAAATAATTTAAGTTAATTGTTGTTTCTATTTATTTGAGGTTGAGTTAATTGTAAAATTATGATGTACTAATTGTTGTTTCTATTTATTTGAGGTTGAGTTAATTGTAAAATTATGATGTACTAATTGTGTTAGAAATAGTATACAGATAATTCTGTTTTATATAATTTTTGGAATATATATTAATTGTTTACACCAACACTTTCATTTTTTATTTCACCCCTTTGAACTTTAGACGTGTGTTATATTTCACTTTATCCATCCGTTCACTGCTATTGTGGCAGGACCAAGTGGGTGTGGGAAGTCAAATTTTGTAACAAATTTCATAAAATCAGTTACAGAAATATGTAATTGTGATTTTAATCAGATCACATGGTGCTTTGATGAAATGCAACCATTATATAATTTACCAAATGTTAACTATCATCAAGGAATTCCAAATCTTAATATGTTTGATGGTGAAAACCCACATCTTGTTATTATTGATGATCTAATGAGAGAGCCCGATGGAAGAATTGTGGATATATTTACAAAAGGTAGTCATCACAGGAATCTTAGTGTATTTTATCTAACACAAAATTTATTTCATCAGGGTAAAGGACAAAGAGACATATCTTTAAACTCAAGTTATATAATATATTTTAAAAACCCTCGAGATAAAACTCAAATAAGATATTTAGCAAGACAAGTATCACCAGATAACCCAAAATTCATTGAAAATGCCTACAGGGATGCAACTCTAGAGGCGCATGGATATTTAATGGTAGATTTAAAACAGAATACCAATGATTTTTGTCGTATCAAGACAAATGTCTTTCCATTTAATGGTTTCTGTACAGTCTACGTCCCCACAAAAGAGTTTAAATACACCAAGAATCAAACAATTGATATCATTGCTAAATGATGCATCGTCGACTCACAACGTATAAACATTTGCTAACCGCTTTGCATACGCTTAAACCAAAATATCAAAGAGCATTACTTAAAACGTGTGATGAAGAAGAAATTAACTGTATTTGTGAGTGTATTCATAACGTTTTACAAGGAAAAGTACCTCTTAAAGATCAGGATAAACAAAAATTGAATAAACATAAAAACATACTCCGTAAACTAGTACGTAAGTGTAAACATAAACTAAGAAAAAATATAATTATACAAAAAGGAGGGGCTTTCTTACCAACAATATTAGGTGCAATATTGAGTGGATTAGTGAGTGGACTAGCCAGTTAACATGGAAAATGCAAAGAAAATGATACTTATCGAACCTGGATTGATTGAAAAATTAAAACAAGAAAATAAGGTTAATAGTAATTTATCTCGATTAGATATTGAAATGCAAAATATTATGAATAGTAAGACGGAAGACCGAAAGAAATGGATATTATATTTACAAACACTGCAAAGATACCTTCATTTTACCGAAGAGGATCGTCAACCACTCAAATTACCAATTTATTCTGATACATCTAATGAAGATTCAAATGAGTCAAAAATTGGTTTTAAAAATAAAGATAGAGATCTAAAAACTTCAGTTGATATTGAATCTTTGCTGGAGGAGAATCGATCCATTAAAAGTAAAGAAAATGATGAAAATCCACTTTACACACCAGCTCAAATACTCAGTTTAATACCAAAAACTTATCATAAAAAAGGGCAGTTATTATTAAACTTAGTTGAAACAAGTAAAAGTAAAATACATTGGGATAATGAAGGTACAGTCATAATTGATAGTGAAAAAATTCCTGGAAGTAATATTGTTGATTTAATAAATGATTCACTAAGACCCCTAAAAAGAAGTGATCCGGTAGGGTGGGTTAGATTTGCTGAAGCATTAAAAGATATTAAAGTACCACCTACTTATATTGGAAATCCAAGGAGATGTGAGTTTATTAACCAACTTCAAGCAAAAGATCTGAACAAACCCTCTGAGATTGAAGTTCAAGAGTTTTCTACACCGGTCAGTAGAGATAAAAAGTCTACAACTAAAATACGTAAAGGACTTGAGTGGGAAAAATGGACCCCGTACTAGAAGAAATTAACAGGATTTATTATGATCCATCTAATCCCGCTGGTTTTGGTAGTATTGATAAATTATCAAAAGCCATGAAGGGTAAAATGAATAAAAAGCAAGTAAAGGAATGGTTAAAATCACAAGAAACATACACATTACATAAACCCATTCGAAAAAAATTCCCGCGTAATAGGTACATTCTATCAAATATTAATGAACTGTGGCAAGCTGATTTAAGTAATATGCGAACTTATTCTCAATATAATGATGGTTTCAAGTATATACTTTGTATTATTGATGTATTTAGTAAATATGCTTTTGCAAGACCAATGAAAAAGAAAAACTCAGAAACAACTAAAGAATGTTTTGAAAGTATATTTACTGAAAGTAATTTAACACCTACTCACATACAATCCGATAAAGGTACAGAATTTGTTTCAAAAGATGTACAAAAATACTTTAAATCCAAAAAGATTAATTACTATACCACTAACAATCCTGACATTAAGGCTAGTATTGTTGAACGATTTCAAAGAACACTAAAAATGAAAATGTGGCGTTATTTCACTCATAATAATACTTATAGATATATAGATGTTTTACAAGATTTAATATACTCTTATAATCACAGCTTTCACTCTAGTATTAAGATGTGCCCATGTGATGTAAATTCCAACAATATTATGACAGTTTGGACTAATCTTTATGATAGACGGTCAAAAAAACTTTCTTTAGAAAATCCTAAACCAAATTTCAATGTGGGTGATTATGTTCGAATAACTAAATATAAACATGTATTCCAAAAAGGATATGAATCAAATTGGAGTGATGAAATATTTATTATATCTTCAATAATTGATAGATCTCCATGGGTTGTTTATACAATAACAGATTTACAAAATGAACTAATAATTGGTACTTTTTATGAAAGAGAATTACAGAAAATCACTTACAACCCCACCTCACAACATAAAATAGATAAAATAATTGACACTCGTTATTCAGGTAACAGAAAAGAAGTATTAGTGAAGTGGAAAGGTTATCCAGATAAATTTAACAGTTGGATTTTAGCTTCTAGTTTAAAAGAAATATGAATAAAGAAAGTTTCTATTTAACTTTGCTCAGCAATAGTTCAATGGAATACTTTCCTGATAACAAGACCACAAATTTTTCAACGAAATTACCAAAAGCTATAAAATTAGAAGGTGAATGGTCGGTTGGAGTTGTCGAGTTTCAATATCCATGTACCATGTTTACTGTTCAAGACCATGAAAATGTTATATACATTACAAAATCTATGTTAATGCCTAATGAAGATAAACCATCCACAGTGTACTACAAAAAACATATTCCAGCTACCAACTATGATAACTTTGAGCATATTTTAAGAGTGTTAAATGGTATCGGAGAGAACTTGAAATTTCGCTATGATGAAATAACAAAATTTGTGTCTATTTCGGTATTGGATAAAAATATAACATCCGTAACATTATCACCCAAATTAAGTTTACAGCTAGGTTATGAACCAAATAAAAATCTCCTAGAGAGAAATTTTGGAAAGTGTCCTGCTAATTTACACTTAGGGTTACCATCTCAACTATTTCTATATTGCGACATTATCGATCCTCAGATTGTGGGTGATGTTATGACTCCTTTATTAAGAGTCATTTCATTAGATCCTACAAAATACATTTATGGTGCAAATAAAATGCACGTTTTCTCTCAACCTCACTACTTACCTGTTATGCGAAGAGAGTTCGATACGTTGGAAATAGTTATAAGATCGAGTACAGGACAAAAAATACCATTCCAGTTTGGAACCGTGTGTATTAAACTACATTTCCGAAAATTATAATAATGAATTCTCTTCGTGATCATCATAAATGTCCATATGAAAATTATTATACACATCAAGCTGGATCAGGAGTTGGAGTAATTTATAAGGGTTCACCATATCAACGCGGTCATGGTATTGGGAGCTTCTTAGGGGGGTTATTCAGATCAGTTTTACCTTTACTTTCAAGTGGTGCTCGAGTGATTGGTAAGGAGGCATTAAGCGCTGGAGTAGGACTTTTATCGGATATGGTTCAAGCCCGTCCTATGGAAGCCTCAATAAAAGATCGTCTAAAGCAAGTTAGTACGAATTTAAAACGAAAGGCTGATGAGAAAATTGATCAATTTAACATGACTGGATCTGGGTATAAAACTAAAAGAAAACGATTGACATCGTTCATTCCACCATTAACTGCTAAAGTGAAAGCTGCGAAAAAACTTTGTCTAAAACCAAAAAATATCAAAGATATATTTTCAAACTAAATATGTCTTTCCTTCATAATCATTCTTGTGAGTGCGTTAAGTCAGAATTGGATTTGTTTGCACTACCGTCTACACAAACTAGCATTGAAAATGGATTGTGGATTCATTATAAACCAATTTCATCTCTTGGTGATTATGGACCTATCGAGTTTCAAGTTCCTGGGACCGGCGATGACTACATAGATTACTTTTTCTCTTTATTATTTGTCTCATACATTACTCCACATAAAGGCAAAAGTATTAAATCAAGATTCAACTAACTTGGTATCTACTACAATAGTAGCACCTGTAAATAATTGGCTGCATTCACTTTTTAGTCAACTTGATGTTTATTTAAACCAAAAACTTGTATAACCTCCTAATAATACCTATGCATATCGAGCATACATGGAAACCCTTTTAAACTATGCCCCTGCTGCTAAACAATCTCATCTTACTTGTAGTCTTTGGTATGAGGATACAGCAGGAAAAATGGATTCTACAGATGGTAAAAACATAGGATTTGTTAAAAGACAGGAATTGATTAGTGAAAGTAAGGAAATAGAAATGATTGGTCATCTTCACGGTGACATTTTTAACCAAGATAAATTTTTAATTAATGGTGTTGAAATGAGTGTTAAATTGGTTCGATCAAGAGAGAGTTTTAATTTAATTGTTGGGTCAAACGATGTAAAGTTTAAAGTTTGCATTACGGACGCAACTCTTATTGTTCGACGAGCACGAATTAATCCAAGTGTATTACTCGCACATCAAAAAGTTTTAGCTTCTACCACTGCTAAATATCCTATTACTCGAGCTGAAGTAAAAGTTTTAACAATTCCTTCGGGTGTTCAAGGAAAAACTCTTGATAATATATTTTTAGGACAGGTACCGAAAAGATGTATAATTGGATTTGTGAACAATTCTGCATTTAATGGTTCCCTTACTAAAAATCCATTTAACTTTGAAAACTATGGTATTAATTCTTTCAGCTTATATATTGATGGTCAACAAATACCTTCAAAAGCTTTGCAACCATCTTTTAATAATAGCATATTTACATCAGCATATCATACTCTATTCTCGGGAACTGGTATTCACTTTCTTAATGAAGGAAATGGAATCTCTTGTGAACAGTATGGCAAAGGTTACTGTCTATTAGCATTTGACTTAACTCCTGATTTATCAGCTAACTCATCAACTCATTGGAATCTCATAAAGCATGGTAGTGTAAGAATAGAAGTACGATTTGAATCCTCATTAATACAAACAATTAACTGTATAGTTTATGCTGAGTTTGATAATATTATTGAGATAGATAAAAACAGAAATGTTACTGTAGACTATAGTAGTTAAGGTTATAATGTGTTGTGTGTTAGATTTTATGTGTTATGTGTAATGCATTTTGTGTGTATGTAACTATGTGAAACGTTATAAAATTAAATAAAACAAATTGTATGCAATATATTTTTTTTTATTTCCTTATAAATCTTCTATTTAATCTAATAAAAAACACTGTTCGAGTTGAAATTTTACATAAGCACACTGACTAAACCACTGAACATGCTGCTGCCAAGGATCATCATCATCTTCCCAATCTTTTAAACCACCACCACAATGGAAACACTTGGTCCCGTCTGCATGGCCAGTATAAAAGAAACCAGCTTCTGCAAGATCTTCAGGTTTCTGTCGCATAACGAGAGGCCAGTTTTCGAAACTAAGCAAACGGCTAGATTTTGAACTGAAGAATGGATATTCAGCTCTTGAGTACTGCATACTCTTCTCGTTTTCTTCTCCACTCAGTGTTGTAGTTTTGTTATTCAATGATGTGTTTTGTACACGTATGCCACACTCATCTCTTCCTTCCGCTCTTGTCTTCCTGTAATTGAAGTAAACAGAATCACATTCACTAATGATCAGCTAATGACTGTCATTGTTAAAAAAGTATTTTTTAACTTTTTCACTTTCTGCTATTGTCTTTGTTATATTGTATACGAGGGCGTTTGTGTTGTCGTAGATGCTATCCTTATTAGTCTTTACGTAATATTTAATTCTCGTGGAAGCATGTTTCCAATGATCAGTAGTTGGAATCTTGGATAGCTTCTTCATATCGTACATTTCAATTTTGATGAGATGCGTCGCTTGGTCTCCGTCGTCAGAATTAGTAGAAATGTATGATACACCATCTCTAGCGGCTCGTGCTACGGTTGATAATAACAGCTTCCTCTTTTTTATTTTTGATTCAGCTTCAAAAAAATGATCAATCGATTGCGATTTTCTTTTTCCACCATCGCATGTGTTATTATTAATGACGAGGTTATCACTCTCTTCTTGAGGGGAGAGTGGCGAGTAGTAATACTGTTTATAGGTATCTTCATCGAAGCTCAATGATTTCTGCAACAACACAGTTATCATGTTAATATCAATTTGTTAACACTTAATCATAAAAGTTAAAAAAGTTAAAGTTACAGCCTATTAAAGTCCACTGCTGAACATAGGCCTCCTCTCATTTCTGAGAGGGTTTTAGAGCAAGGAAATGTCCGCCGCGCTCCCTCAATGTGTGTTGGCGAACTTCACATGCCTTAGAAATTTTCTCAGACATGCAGGTTTCCTCACGATGTTTTCCTTCACCACCAAGCACGTGGTAATAAGCACTTAAAATTGCGATTAACAATTTAATTGGTGCTGGCGGGGATCGAACCCGGGTCGCGTACTGTGAAATTTACAGCTAGCGCTAACCATCTGAGTTACCACGGCTTAATCATATACATACACAATATTTAAATAAAATAATACACACACATGAAAATAACAGAAAAAAAGTAATTTAGTCAATAGAATAAACACTTACATCCATAGCCTTTGGTGTATTGAAGTAACACAAATGTACTATTGATAGATCCACTGTAGTCAAACGACCGTACACTAACTCGATGACTGCGTCTGTTGGTCTTATATACCACCAGTACGTAAAAATTCTAATCTAAAGTATTTCCGTAATGAGTTGATAATTACTTTATGCGTCAACCAGTTTATCTCACATTTCCGTTGTCTATCTCAACATTTCTTCGTATTGTGTTTTGTTTGGTGATCAATGACTCAAGTACGATTTGTATAACACAAAAATGCAATTTAATATTTAGAAACATATCAGTTTATCTCACATTTCCGTTGCCTATCTCAACATTTCTTCGTATTGTGTTTTGTTTGGTGATCAATGACTCAAGTACGATTTGTATAACACAAAAATGCAATTTAATATTTAGAAATCACTATAATTGACCATTCCTATGTTATTCATTGAGTAGATTGGTACTGTAATAATCTACTAATAGCAGTAATATCATGGATACACTAGATGAGCAACAACATCTGAAAAAGATTCACCCCAGTCTAGAAAATAATGTTTATGCAGCTAATAGACTGCCTATGTATACCCACGTACCAACGTATATAATATGTAATTTGGATACAGATGATAAACCAGGGTCACATTGGGTAGCTTTATATATCGATACGAATGACGTCGGTCATTATTTTGATTCATATGGACGATCACCTGTACGATATCATCTAGAGTTTTTAAAAAGGAATTGTAAAAGATGGAACTGGAATGTTGATAGGATTCAGAATGAGTGGACTTCAGTTTGTGGCGAATATTGCTTAATGTATTTGCTATATAAGTTTCAAGGATGTTTAATACATAGTTTTACGAGTATATTTACAAGGAACACATTGTACAACGATATTTTAGTGGATGAGATGTTTCGCTCCTATTTTATAGATAATAAGTAATAAGATTTTGTATTTTATAAATAAAAATTGTAACAAAATTATGTAATGTGTTTTATTGATGATTCAGATTAGCGTTGTATAATTAGGAACAAAGAAGTACAATACAATAGCACTGATATAGTCGACGCACACGCTGCAATGAAGGTGATTAATGAACAATAGAACAATAGAAATAGGAACAATGGGACGCTAATGACGGTGGAGGCCCTTACCGGATATCAATTAGATATTAGGTAATTGATCTACACATCTCCGGAACCGTGCATTCTACACAAAAATGGACCGCGGATTCGTGATCAGAGCATGCCAAAACCTTTTTTTTTTTTTTTAGGATCGTGTATCGACGAACGTCGTTGAACCACGTCTGACTCAGGTGGTCTAGAAGTGGTACAACTACACTACTTGAAACAGCTCGATATACCTTTATTCCAAGAATGGTCCAAATAATGCATTTCTAAAAAACATTGAACAAAAAGAACTTATGTCCTCGCACTGGTGACACTGCACCCCATCACCAGTGTATCGGATATGGTTTTTTTTATAGGATAAGGGCGACAAACGAGCACACAGTCCACCTGATGGTAAGTGGTTGCTGTGGTCCATAGACATCTACATTTATCCTCGATTACAAATCAAAATGCAGGTGCGTTGTCACCCGTGAGTACTAAGATGGAATGCCTCATTTCCAGTAAAAAGGGTCTCCGGTACTCTACACTCACCATACGAAACATAGCATCATGAAACTACTATTTTACGCTAGTATTCTGTGAGAGCGTGGTCCTTCCCCGGTCGAGCCGACCCATTCGTTTTATAACTATACCAGAAATATAGCTGCAGTATGAATCTACCACGTTAAACTGCAGCATGGCTCTACTACGTTAAAGCATTTTCGAATTAATAATAAATATGCATGTAGACGGTCACACAGCAAATTGCTTAGACCTTCTGCTAACTAGCGAACCAGACAGATATGAAGTACAGGTTACCTCTCCTTTGGGTACATCTGACCACTGTCTGGTGAAATCTGCATCGTCATATTATCCACCTGATTACGAGCCCCAAGGTGTTCGACGAATATGGCGATATAAGTCAGCTGATTGGGATGAGATGCGATACTTTTTTGCATCTTATCCTTGGCGGGAGGTCTGTTTCTCTTCTGTGTATCCGTCGAGCTACGTGGTTGCGATAACGGATGTGCAACCAGAAGATCACCAGCTGATCGACCCCGACGAAGACCGTATTGGCGGTCACTAATCAGCTGGTGATCCTCAAGGTACCGGATGAGCTGGCAGTTAATAATGGATTCCATTATTTTGGAGAACAAGGAAGTCGCGATAGGCCTATAGTTGGACGGGTCTGAGCGGTCGCCTTTTTTAGGGATCGGGTGGACAAAAGCTGTCTTTCATGAATTCGGGACTACGCCTTGGGAGTAGGAGTACCGGAAAAGACGCGTTAGGACCGGTGCCAACTCCGGAGCACACGTCCTCAGCACAATTGGGGGGATTCCGTCAGGCCCACTCGACTTCTGGATGTCCAGGGAGAGAAGTGCTTTGTGAACCGAGCGCTGTGAGAACAGCACATCCGGCATGGAGCACTCACACCGCGGGATGGTCGGCGGTGTTTTCCCCCCGTCATCAAGAGTCGAGTTGGACGCAAAAAGGGAGCCTAAAAGGTCGGCTTTCTCTTTTGCATCGTGGGCCAGTGAGTCGTCCTCCCTGTGCAGAGATGGTAGTGATGGCTTACAGAAATTCCCTTGGACAGCCTTGGCGAGAGACCAAAATGCACGGGTTCCCGAAGGAAGGCGAACTAGTGTCTCACTAATTCTGCCTATGTGCTCTGACTTTGCCATGGCAATAACTCTTTTGAAGGACCTGGAGGCGAAGTTATACTTCTTTATAAGTGTGCTGGTGTTTACATGCCGAGTCGCCGAAGCCGCAGCCCAGGCTTGATAACACTCCTGCTTACTGCGTAATGCATTTTTACAGGAGTGACCAAACCAAGGCTGAGATCTGCCTCCGATGGGTACCACAGATGATGGAATAAATAGTTCCATTCCCTGTAACACCACATCAGTGGCAGAGTCAGCAACAGCGCTGGGATCATCCGGCGAGAAGCAAACCCGCCCCCATGGGTAGGATGCAAAGTAAGACCGCATTCCGTTCCAATCCGCCGACCTGTAATGCCAAACACGGCGGCAACCTGCAGAATGCAACCGCGAAGGGAGCGTGAGTGGCACCACACTCCGGATCAGACAATGGTCCGAAGAGCCGAGAGGGGCATCGACGGAAACCTGATATTCGTCCGGATGAGAGGTCAGCAGAAGGTCCAACAGGGAAGGTGTATGATCCTTCACATCTGGAATCCGCGTAGGCGAAGTAACCAGTTGTGTCAGACCATATGCCAAGGCAAAGTCATAAACAGATCTCCCCGCATGATCGGTTAAACGTGAACCGAGCCATTCGGCATGGTGGGCGTTAAAATCGTCAAGGATCACGATCTCTGCGGATGGGACATGTTGTAGTAAGGAATCTGTAGCCATTTGGACGTGGTCGATGAGTCAG